ACGAGACTGTGATTGGCTCCGCCGTCCAGCGACTCGTTTTTGCGACTTGAAAAATCTCAGAGAGCGACTGCCCCTAAACGGGTCGCTAGCGACCGAAAGCCAGTCGCTAGTCGCTGGTCGCTCCAGCGACGGTCGCAAGTGTGAACGGGCCTTAAGACACAGTCTGGTTTGCACACCAAGCAGTCTGGTGCGCCCACCGGGCAACCAAGAAAGCACACCACGCTGGCCTGGCGTGTCCACTAGGCTATCTGGTGTTACACCAGGATTCTCTTGTGTTACACCAGGATTCTCTTGTGTTTTTTTCGTTTAGGAAACACTTATAAATGATCGTCATTCATTGTTTTAGAGTGTTGCGCATTTGGCTGTTTCAATATTGTACACAGGCAGTCTCATAAATAAATATATGTAAAGATGAAAAATATTAGCAACTGCTCTCTGCTTCTGTGTTTCATTAGCTGTTACAATGTTAAAAACGGTGAACTGTGATAATTATATATGCAAAAATGAAGAATATGGTGAACTACTCTTTTGGTTTCTGTGTTCTGACTTCAAACAATCTGAAAATAAGGAAATGCTTTTCCGAGGTTTTTTCTGACAAGAACTCGGGAATTTGTGGAAAGAGCTCGTATTCGCTAAGGTAGCTTAGGCTTCAGAGCGCAACTCTCAGGCGCCCGTTTCCGGGTTGAGCGGCGTCGGCGATGGCGTAACCACGCGCGTTGCATTATCAGACATTTCCCCGCAAATTTAGCGGGAAAATTTTCTGGTTAAATTTGTTAATATTTTCTTGCTAAATTTGGCGGGGAACTTGACGTCACGTGACTTCAACACCAATTCAATTTCCCCGCTAAATTTAGCGAGGAAAATGATGTGACGACTTCGTGTCACGTCATCCATGAACAAATTCAGCGGCAGGAGGAGAGGAGGTGGAAAGGAGGAGGAGAAGGGAAGGAGAGGAGGAGGAGAACGAGGAGGGGAAGGTATGGAGGAGGAGGGGGAGGGGCATAACCTCCCCTCCATACCCTCCCCACCTCCTCCCCAAGAGCTGCGCTCTAGTTTCGCGTTATAGAGATTTGTAAACGTCTTTCATATTTTAATTAATCATACTATAATTAAAACCGCGAGCTTAGAGGGATGTAGTGCCAATATACTGCCATATGTATAAAAAGCTTTTAAAACCATATCTTATATCTTGTAAGCACCCGCTTAACACTCTATTTGCAGCTTGCGACTAATAAAGGGCGTTCGGTTAGCACCCCCTTTGAACATGATAAAGGGTGTATTAATTGAAATTAGAGTGTTGAAAGGGTGTAAATCTCTGGAACATCCTCTTTACACCCTTAAGGGTATAAAATGTCTGTATGAAAAAGGTCGAAAACCATCCGCGGCCCGATCATTCCAGGGCCAGGACATCAAAAACAGATGTCAACATTGAAAAAGTCGGCCAAATCATTCGAAATAAATCGCCGCTACAGTATCCGCGCTGTTGCCGAGTTGCTCAACATTGATTTTAACATACGAAAAGTGTAAGAGAAACGAGGTTTGACTCTGTTGATGCTGTGAAAATAAAAGCGATGGAGCTCATGAAAAGCTTATCACTTGATGTCTTACAGCGCTGCTTTCAGCAATGGGTGATTCATGTGGAGTGATGTAGGAACAGGGGAGGGGAGTACATAGACGGAGACAACATTACAATTGTGTAATTTTTCGAATACATTTTTTTAAAGATGAGTTTCGTTATTTATTTGGCCACACCTAATTATACCGATTTGTATAAGCATTTCACACGCACAGTAGGCGATTCCAGTTGAGGAAGATGCACAGTCAAGAAAAAGTAAGCTTGCCGGTATGAGCAGTTCGCTCGGTATAGCCGACTAGAACGTGGTTAGCCGGGCTCCTACGTAACAGACATACTGCAGTAAAGTCACATCTTAAAGGGACCATGAAATGTTTTTGCAGCTTTTTCCCCCCCAAATGAAGCCCCCAATTAATCTTCAATATTCAAAGAACCCGGAGCAGGACTCCGTTTTCGTTTCATTGCCCTACAGTTTTGAAAAATAAATAATAAATTCGCGTTTGCTTTTCTTTTTGACTCGACCAGATTCAGCAATCAACATGTTAAATCACGTGGTTGTAACGTAAAGTATGCCTTTCTACCGGAAACGGAAGTTCGCCCAGCCGAGCGAGGGAGCCGCGTCAGTCAAGCGTCGCGTTGCAATGCGTCGAAACGACGTTTTCGTGTCGACGTTTCGACGCAACGACGTCGAAACGACGTCTCCTACTGAGGTTTCCATGAACACCGATTGCTTCGTAGGACTCGCTGGTCCGCGATGGTTGTGCGATCAAAGCCATGGCTATGGATACGTCGCAGTTGAGTGAAGTTCAGCTTAAAATGCTTCGGCATAGTGAAAGTATGGGCCTTGTTCCGTACGCCGGGACGCAGCAAAACGAGAACTCGCCCGACGGAAGGCTGTAGCAGTTCGGCGCGGGAACCAGGAACCAGCCGCGGAGGAGTGGCGATTACTCAGCACGGAATGGTTGGTTCACATATCGGCTGCGAACACATTTCGGTTGCGAACACATTTCGGCTGCGAACGCATTTTGGCTGCGAACACATGAGCGGACCTCGTGGACAAACCTCTCGTGCTCCGTTGACGCTGTGGCTTATGCAACCGGGTATTGAACTCGGTCAGTTCCGTCGAGGGTATTCATCGGCTATTTCGTCATTTGGCAACACAGTTCGAGTGAAGCACTAATCGTATCTATTAGGGAAGCTAAATTCAACTGACGTGCCCGGAAAAAAGGGGAAAAAAATACTCTGACACCGTGGACGTAGCGGTAACTAGATGGCGCAAGGTACCGCGCATTACAGTAAGTTTCGCCACAACAAATTTATTAATCCACCCATTCCTACACTCAGCTTCGTTGGGAGCGTTCGAGGGAAAGAGACGAAGATATAGTCGGCTTTTATTTGCCAAAAGTTCATGCCAAAAATTGTAATTGAGACTTCCCAATTTCGCGTGCCAGTTTTCTCTTGATCCGATAAACGATATGCAGTAAATAAAATTCTGTCTAAAGTCCGTTTACTTGCTCGGGCTAAAAAAAAAATTTTATTTTCAGAACCCCGTTGGTGCGCTGCAAGTATACACATCGGTTCAAGCTTCCGCGAAATAACATCGAATACGGGAACTGCTCAGGAGAAATATAGGCCGCGAAGACCACTGATTGTCGCGGATCATGAGATGGCAACGCCTTTATGTCTACAGCCCGAACGTTACACGCGTATACTTTCAGGGGTGCCTCTTCCATGTAGGTGCTTCAACGGATTCGCCTTTACATGGTCGTGTGTGAAGGTGGCATCATTATCGTGTTTGTGTTGCATTTGCGGAAAATAAAACGGACGCCATCGTGCCACTGCGAGAATTCGCAGCTCCGATTCCGCTCATTTAATTATTTCTTCACTGTTCCACATTTCGTACCTCCGGGCTGCCCGAGTCTTTGCTGCACACCGGGAGAGGCAGTAGCCCCGCGCTCCTCTCCCTCGCGTCTTTTTCGCTGGGTGGCGTCGCTTCCCATGGTGTTGCCAATAAGACTGGGGGGGGGGGGGGGGGGGGGGCAGGGCTAAAACTGTGCTTGATACAAAAATTGGCGCTTGCTCGCATTTTATGTATACAGCACCGTATACATAGTTTTATTTGAACAGTGTGCAAATCTCCACTCGGATAACGGTGTGTTGCACTGTACCCACCTTCTACGTGACTTCATGTTTATCTGGCGCCGCTCTAACACTGCGATGGGGAGCGCACTGACATCGCTGTGGCATTTGTTTCTTCTTCTTATAAACACCTCCTGAGCATGCTACAATGACAGAAGGGGATGGATTGTGGCCAGTAGTAATGGGCTTATACTATACTTATTTTCACCGTAAGTTAGAGTGTAGCCGACGATAGGAGCGGGTGGGACCAATGAAATATTGCCACAGGCCCAACGTTACTGCGTTATTTGTCTTTCTGAGCGTATGTCCTCATCGGTTAAACCAATTATGCTCATAGCATGCGCTAGAACCTTGCTCTTTTAGTCTATGCGTCTGTCTTTGTATGTCTTCTAGCTTTTGACTGCGCTCTGACTTAAGGTGAAATGAAGTGTAGACGCCTTACTTCGCAACATCATATTGACAGTGTGTATTTAATTATATGCAATGAAGAAATGTTACTCCAAAATAAAAAATAGGGTCCACAGCCTAAAAAACAGGTTTGGATCCATATCGAGATTACTTTATGATACAAGCCACAACCTCTCCTTTCAACAATATTTACATATCTCGAGAACGCGTTTTTTTTTTTTTTTTCAACATATTTTTTTTTTCACCGCATAAATTCAGGACTTGAGCAAGCTACTATTTTGCCAATAAACTTCAACTACGTATGTGTTCAATTAATTCTAACCGTCGCTGACCATATGTTAATGTAACAAAAAGTAGTTATAACGCGAAACACCGACTCTTTGTCAAGCTTCTAATTTCCGGCTGTATGTGCTTTTTTCCCCTTCATTACTCATAACGCCTGGTTTAACACTTTTATGGTCGCGTGAGTACTTTAGTAGTTTGACCTGAAGTGAAGCCCTACTTTATATGTCAAGATCTGCTCACTAGAAAGTCAGGGTTATGCTGTTTTATTTTCCCACTTAAAAAAAAAAAAGCTTATAACTATTCCTTTTCGCGTGCAAGCCGACCTTCTAAAGGAGATCGCGTGACAAAAGTAGTATAAGGCTTATTATAATCGATTTACAGAAATGACTTGTTTCTATCTGGTACTGCCCCGAAAAACAAAACAGAAAAACACAACATTCCTCTTAAGTTCACATTCTTGCGACTTTGGTGTAAACGTTTTATGTCGGGAAAAACAAAAATAAAAGAAAAGAAATCAAGACGTGACAACTGATAACTTTTTTGATCCGTGGGCAATATCGCCATTGTAAAAGTCGCGAAGTCGGCAAACAGTTTGTCGGCAAACAGTTGTTTTTTTGGCTGCATCGTGAAGTCGCATCGTGAAGCCGTAAAGTGTCAATTGAATGTTTAAAACGCCACATCCTATAACGATTAAAGAGATTTCAGCACCAACGTTCACGATGTCGACGTAATTCAGTCAGCGATCAGCCGAGAGAGTCTTGACAGGCAACGTGAAGAGTTCAAACGTAACGAATAAGCTGTGGCACATTCATACACTGTGATCCCCGTACATGGACTTGGGCAATGTGTGATTCATTGAAGTCGCAGTTGGCTGCTGCGCATTCTGACCTGAAAAGTAAAAGAAAATAAACACACGCGACACTCAAAAATGGTTCATGGTTTTAAGGATAAAATGGTTTAGAAACTTCCATCTGTAAAACTCGGTTATAAATTTCTTCATTAAAATTATGGGAATATTCCTGTATTCAAAATTCATGTCAAGCTTCCCTTTTTTCTAGGTAAAATGGGGGGGGGGGGGGGGGTTGTGTTTGGACTCAATGCACGTACTGTCCCTATTCTTATTCCTCTCCTGGCCAATCACGGTCGTCCTCTCTCAACACGGCACGCTACTCTAGTATTTGCTGAAACGAAGCGCTTTTATTACTCGATAAAAATCTAAACATATTTCATTCATGCTTAAACTCTCATAACAAAAGCTTGGCTCTCACACGCAAAAACAAACAAACAAACACTTTTTGGTTGTTTTACAATTGACTGTATTTTTTTTTTTACTTCCCTAGAAGGTGAAAAGAAGGCTTGATGGCTAACTCTGTTTTCCGACAATTAGTTAATCCTAACAATTTTTTCTTCGAAATTTAATTGAACTGCACTAGTCGGATAAAATGAAGGTTTTCCTGGAGAGGACTAAGCTCATTTTTGTAGGGTATGTAAGGTTTTGCTTCTGACCCACCTTCTATGGGTCATAGAATACTATATTGCACATTATAATTCGATCTTTTGTTTTCTTTTCTTTTTTTTTTTTTGGGGGGGGGGGGGTTAGGGTGGCCCCCCCACCCTCCCCTCCCCCCCCCCCCCAAAAAAAAGAAAAGAAAACAAAAGATCGAATTGGGGGTTTGTTTACATAAATATGGCTGTCGCGAATCACCGTACGTTTTAACTGCAAAATTTGTGATGCGTGATCCCTAATACTGTAAATGCCGTCAGTCTAATACTACACGTAGTGAGCTGTCTTTTAGAGGAGACCTACGTGCACCTTTCCTGGCATCTCTTTTTTGCTGAACGAAGAAAAAAAGAAAAGATAGGCAGTTTAAGATGCAGCTTAGAGGAATTAAAGGAATGCCTGCTCGTAATATAGTGCCCACGACGTTATTCACATGCATAAAAAAGAAAAAGGCCATACAGGCTAAATAAATGGGTGTGCTATTTCAGAACGCCGCACCCTCCGTTGCCAAACCTTGTGTTGGCCACTATAGGACTTCATAGAAAAAAAATCAACAACCTAATGTTTGCTTCTTGCACAGAAACAAAAAAACGCTTACATATTTCTCACTTTTCGCCGGGAGAATTTCCTCGAACAATACTTTGGTGTATACAGACAACACCGAGCGACATATTCCTGAAGAGACATAGTATGACTAAAGTTTCCATTAGCTTTCCAACGTAGAGCGAAGAACATTTCTAAATAACTTCGTTTACAGGTGCGCATGTGAAGCGGTACTTTTCACGTTGTTTATGTTAAAGTTTGTCTGGTGCAGATAATTATAATAATACAAATCTGTTGGGCTAGTACGTTACACATCACGAAAAGAAAACAAAAAGGCACTAAGAACAAGGGCAAGTAGTTGAAGCACTTGTCCTGTACTGTTCTACCATTGGTTCTTGTCATTTTCATATATTAGAATGGGAGATTTAATATGCTTGCGGTCCGCAGAAAAATCAGTTGTTTCTCATCTTTGGAGTTTGAGGGGATGTGAACGTATGGTATCTATCAGCCCGTTTTGCCGAGAATTTCCCTTTACGCTGCCACGGCAACTGGGAACCAAATTAAAATGATTGGAACTGATTTTTCTGAAATTTTGTTTTTAGCAAATATAAGGAAATTAAACGAATTGATCACTTATACAAATAACGAATTTAAGTGAGCTTAAAATTATAAAAATATGGCATGATGATGATAGCTACACATTGTTCAACCCGAGCTGGAGTTCAGAAAGAAAAGAAATAATATTACTCTAACGATCATATTCGCATTGTTTGCCTTTAAGCTGTTTGAGCCTCCTGTTTAGCACTGATGAAGTTTATCGTGTTAGGCATTGTCGTTTGGAGCGTATTCACCATGTTAATGATCTTACAACTGCCATTTTGGACAATTTTTAGATCACGCAGAAACCTTCCAAAGTCGGCCTGCCTGTGACGTACCTTCAGCTGTCACTGTGATATTTTGACAAGTTGTCAACTGTGATTCACTTACCCTTTTTCGGGGCATCTCTTTCCTTTGTCTGCACGACAATAACAACTACTACTGGCACCAGAATGAGGACGAACAAAAAAGTGATGATGACTGCGAGCAGAATGTAGGTCGCCATGTTGTCTGCAGTTTCTATAAAAGGATAGAAAAAGAGAGGGGGGATCGGTGGCCGAGTGGGCTGAAGCGCACACCCAGCTCGACGCGCGTGGAGCGAAAGCTCGCGCTGCAGAACCCAGGGATCCTGGGTTCGAGCCCCACCCCTGCCCGTTTCGATCTGGATGAGCATCGTACCGGCGTGCGGTCGTGTATCACTACTGCGTGAGCACGTTAAAGACCCCAGGTTAGCAGTCGTACTGCACTGGCAAAATTGCTCATCTACAGTGTAAACCAGTGTCGCCTCATCCTGGCAGACCAACCTTACACTGTATAAACACTAAACGTCCAATTTGACTTTTTTTTGATAGAAAAAGAGAGTCAGGAGCATTGGCGACGCTCAAAACTTGTACGCTGTTGAGCTGCTCAAATTATGTTTTTTTTCCTACTTTCTCTGTCGGAAGTTTGAGAGGCCCTGTAATATTATTGATTTGCGCAATAAGAAGCAGAGGAAGACGATCATAAAAAAAAAAATGGCATCAATAGAAAAACAATTGAAGGCCGAATATTCTGGTCGTATTAGGACAGCATTTGTTTAGATTTATTAGTTAACGTGGTTCGCTATTGCAACAAAGCTCAGGAAGCTAAGATATTGTCTAAAAATCCCTGGAGAAGGGGAACAAGGGGGAGAAAGGGGGACAAAGGACAAACACAAGTCTCCAAACACAGCTAGGTGACTGTGCGCTACCGAAAAAATCCACCTGGTCCTGGTATCGAAACAGGGACCTCTCCATTGTGTTTTTCTTTTTGTCCCTCTTGTTCCCTATCACCAGGGATTATTATCGTCTTTCTCAGATAGCAGAGCGTATGAGAAAGCGATACTTTTACAGTGATTGTAGTGCGATCAAAGCTGAAAGTTTTGAGAAGCATACCTGAGCTAGCCCACCATATCCTAGCGTGCTTTTTAGGACGCAGCTCTTAGGCGCCCGTTTCCGCGTCGGCATAACCGCGCTAAATTTAGCGGGAAAAATGACACCACGTGCAGCGGCGTAGACTTTCCATTTTCCCGGGGGGGGGGGGGGGGGGGGCGCGTCACCTTTTCGCCAGAACTGGAGATTGAAGCTAACGAAAGCACGCTGGGAATCCATTTCCCATGTATTTTGGCAATAAAGGCAACGTGGGCGTTATTTTGTTTACATGCCACTACTATAGAAGCTCGTTACATAGCACGTAAACAGCGTCTCGCTAAGGATCATGGCCCGGGCCCGGGGGGGGGGGGGGGGGGGGGGGGGCACGAGTCCCGATGCCCCCCCGAAGTCTACGCCTATGGTCACGTGATCTCAACACCAATTCAATTCCCCGCTAAATATAGCGGAGAACTGAATTGGCGTTGAGGTCCCGTGACGTCAATTTTCCCGCTAAATCTAGCAGAGGAACTGAATTTGTTCATAAGCAACGTGACACCAAGTCATGTGCGTCATTTTTCCTGCTAAATATAACGGGGAAACTGAATTGGTGTTGAGGTCACGTGGCGTAAATTTTTCAGCTAAATTTAGGAGGGAACTGTGGGAGGAGGGGAGGGTACGGAGGAGGAGGGACTTACCCTCCCCTCCTCCTCCCCAAGAGCTGCGCTCAAATTTCGCGTTAGAGATTTGTAAACGTCTTTCATTTTAGAGCGCAGCTCATGCGCCCGTTTCCGGGTTGAGCGGCGTCGGCGTCGGCGTAACCGCGCGCGTTGCATTATGGGACATTTCCCCACTAAAGTTAGCGAGGAAGTTTTCCTGCTAGTTTTAGCAGATTAAGTTTTTCCGCTAAATTTAGTGGGAACATTGACGTCACGTGACCTCAACGCAAATTCAGTTTCCCCGCAAAATTTAACCGAAAAAATGACGTCACGACTTCGAGTCAAGTCACCCATGAAGAAATTCAGCGGCAGGAGAGGAGCAGGAAAGAAGGAGGAGGAGGGAAGGGTACGGAGGAGGAGGAGGAGCATACTTCCCCGCCATACCCTCCTCCTCATCAAGAGCTGCGTTCTAGCTTTGCATTACAGAGATTTGTAAACGTCTTTCATTTTTAGAGCGCAGTTCTTAGGCGCCCGTTTCCGGCTTGAGCGGCTTCGCCGTTGACATCGGCGTCGCCATCACCGCGCGCGTTGCATTATGGGACGTTTCCCTGCTATAGTTAGCGGGGAAATTTTTCCGCTAAACTTAGCGGGGAAATTTTGCCACTAAATTTAGCCGGAAATTTTTGCCGCTAAATTTAGCGGGGGAATTTTTCCGCTAAATTTAGCGGGGAGATTTTGCCGCTAAATTTAGCAGGGAAATGTCACCGCTAAATTTAGCGGGGATATATGGAGTTTTCGTACATCGTTTTGGCCGTCCCGCAACGCTCTCCGCAAACCGCTACATACCCGAAACTCTACAGTCAGGCCATTGGCGCGCAGGCGCAGTAGCGGCTTCTTCGTTGCGGAGGGCTTAGCGAAGTGGGGAAAACGGTCTACGAAAACTCCCCAAAGTTACCGCTAAATTTAGCGAAAAATCTCCCGCGAAATTTTCCGATAAATTTTCCCGCTAAATTTTCCGATAAATTTATATCGGAAAAATTTCTCCGCTAAATTTAGCGGGAAATTTAGCGAAAATTTTCCGCTAAATGGGAGGCAGCAGGCGAGGAGGAGGAGAGGGTACGGAGTTGGAGGAAGAGCATACCCTCCCCTCCTTACCCTCCTCTCCTCCTCCTCAAAAGCTGCGCTCTAATTCGGCATTACAGAGAATTGTAAACGTCTTAAATTTTTTCTCCAGTTTTACGTAGTTCCAGCAGAATTTCAAATCACTTTAATGGACGCGTGTTGTAGCTATGTGCATTAGTGTAATCACTACTTCAAACGTTAAATGCATCATGTTACAAGTCGCACTGCAGTGTTCAAATCGCTCCTCTTCACCGGAAACTAAAAGTACATGCTCGCTTTCTAAAGATTCGTGTAACTACAGTATGCTTTACCTGGCTCGCCGAACCAAGTGTCGGTTCGGCGTATGCGGCTTACCCTTGAGCGAAATGTGAAAGATGCAGGGCCTGGTCATCGGGCCAATTTCGTTTTGCGCCCAGCAGTATACAGTGCCGAAGTCGGCGGCCACTTTGGGATGATACAGCAACACTCCGTTGCTGGCATTTCTGTGCGACGTCAAGTTTCGCGTTGTATTTTCATCCAGCGCACTTTTGAAGGACCAGTAAAACGTGACATCCGCCGGATCAGCTGAAATTCTACACGGCACTTTGATTACTTCATCCAGTGAGGTTATGAGGTAGCTTTCAGATGGCTGCGAGCACTCTGGCTCATCTGAAGAAGAAAGAGGACAAAAATCGGAAGGGTATCCAGGTTGAAACAATGTACACCAAATAATCGAAAAAGTCAGGCTGCTTTTTGTAGTCTAGATTTCGCGACTGCCCTTTAAGAAAGCCACAGCATCCGTTTGTTACACTTGAGCGGGTTTTACCGAGCATTAAAACAAGCCCCTCTTTCCTAAAAAAAAAAAAAAAAATCTTAAACAGCATTTAGAGCGAACGCATGTTAATATCACCACACTCTAAACAGCTAATATATATATATGGCTGGTTTCATTCAGATTCAGGCAGTGGGTGGGAATCGTATTTTTTGTTTTTCTTTATATTTTTATATGTTGTGCCGCATACTTTACCTAGAACAACGCTTTTTACTTTAATCGCCGGAAAGTTTTAGTTTTCGGGAAATAAATTCTCAAAAGTGCGGGGAAGAACAATGTAGTTTTGACCGCTGTCGCGTGCAGCATGTTTGAAGCTCGTTTGGTTCTATACTATTAAAAGCACAGCCTTTATAATATTTTGTGGTAATCTACGTATTTCTGAGTGTTATTTCCTCTGGAATTATATTTTCTACTAATAATTGAAATTTTTTTAAAGATAGCCAAACTTGCCACCTCTGACGATTATGCACGAAGATTCAGAATTAATTTTTAGGTGAAAATTTTAACGTATGACATTCAATCTTTTTTCTCTGACAGAGCGTTTCATTGCCTTTCCAAAAATGCATGTTTTATTTGTCTATGATTTTTTTATATCGAAAAATAGATTTTGAAAAGGATGAAGTTTTCAAAATTTGGTCAAATTCAGCGCGTCATTAAAAAAAAAGGCCATTTTTAATATTTTTTATTTTCTCTTATTTTACTTTTCTCATATCCTTCTTTTATCAGGCATATATTTTGATAGGTGTAAAGCAGTAGTTTAGCAATGCCGAGCGTCTCAATATGCTGTAAAACAATAACCGCTGACAGCAGATTTTATGACAACTGCCGCCTCTTTCAAGCGCAAAGCTCTCAAAGAGAAGTAAACAAACATCTGCAAAATCATCTCAGCTCCCATCGGCAGATAATTCTCGTTTCTGCTGTGGCGATAGAAGCGCTCCTAACGTTATCGAGTTGCGTGGTCGACTGTGCCGCGAGATGGACCTTGAACCCACCAGTGCGAGCACTCGACAGCGGGATACCCGAGCTGCCGCTTCCGACCGAGAGCCATGTCGAACGTACCTTGAACCCCGCAGAGCTTGAAGGAAAGCTCTCACGTATCAGTTGCGTAATTTGCGTGTTTACCGCGGAAGCATCCCAACCGCTTGCTAAAATTGATCCACGGGAAACGCAGAACATGGGGAAACTTGGTGGAGCCCAAACAGGCGGCTACACATTTGTCAGTGTTGTATAGGGTTTCTGGCTTTTACTCCTAGCCCCTCGTGCAAAGAAGGTTTGAAATTCATCGAGTGGAACCGGGAGCGTTTGGCAGAGTACTCTTTCGCGTGTGTGCGCGTATTGACTATCTGCGAATGCTATGGCTGAGACGTACAGTCGGAAGCGCGTTTTCTGTGCGGACTATCGACGGCGGCATAAGAAAAATGTGCTGTGGCAGGCACGCTTCAGGTCTGTGAACGATCTGGATCTGAAAATACTCAGGCAAGTTTTGGATCCTTCAACTCCCATCTCGCAGACGGATCAGCTGTGCCACAACTGCTTCAGGTATTTCGGTTCCCTCGTTGTAGATCGGCATGAAGCATGCAAAGCCGGACCCTCGGATGCCCACGACGAGGACTTCGTTGACAAAACAACGTCTGTCAACGAAATAAACGAGTGCGTATCATCTCTGCAGATAGAGATCTCACCATTCAGGATGCCAACTGAATTGAGAAAAAAGTCGGCTCGTTTATACGCGCAAAAAAAGCAAAGTCAAGTCGAAGAAGCGGTAAAGAAACGAATGCGGCGTAAGATCAGTGACGCGTATGATGTGCCACAGCCGACAACTGGAGCGTCTTCGTCCACAATATGCGCCGAGTGGGAAGCAAACGTGCGAACAGCATTCCAGAAGAGCGCGTCTATCAGTGAAAAATGTCAATTGCTCACACTGTTTCCAAACGATATGAGCAAGCAGCAAATACTAAGCGTTGTTCCCGAGGCAACCATGTACTTGATCGACAAAGCAAGACGCCTTAAAGCAGCCCAGGGAGTATGTGCACTTCCTGATCCATACACTCCGCACACGCTCAGAGAATCGGATATCGCGACGGCTTGTCGTGTTTTTTTAGAAGACGAGATGGGCTGCTCCATTCAAAGTCCGAGCAAGAGAGACGTCATCGCGTTAAAAACATCGGGGTCGAAGGAGTTTGTAGTGAAACGATATATGACGCGCTCTATTCGTGAATCCTACTCTCTTCTGATGAAAACCTATCCGGACATCAAGATTGGCCTAACCAAATTTTATACGCTGCGTCCGAAGTGGGTGAAAATTTCTCCGTACAGAGACCAGTGCGTGTGCGCAATTTGTGCGAACTTTCAACTCGTGGTGGCATCAGTCAACAACGCCTCATCCCGCGCTTTCTCTGAAAAGGACATTACTTCTCTCTGCATATGCTCTAACCCTTCAGAAGCCTGTATGCTGCTAAAATGCAAAGAATGCCCTGGAGTGAGGAGTCTAAGTGCACGTACACTATGTCTTCACTGTCAGGAGGACATTCAACTGGCGATTTGGGAGTCGGGAAACTTGATAAAGAAGACGCTTACTGTGGTCGGGTTCCTCAAGCTGACAAGAGATTGCGTGGAAAAGTACATTACTCATGAATACATTACGAATATTCAAAGAAAAGCAATACGAGATGTTAAGGCGAATGTAACACAAAGGTCAATTGTGTTACACTTTGACTTTGCAGAAAATTGGAGCATTGTTCTTCCAAACGAAGTGCAAGGCTACTACTGGCGTAAACAGCAAATCAGCATTTTCACATGTGTTGCCACAACCGCCAACGGAGCAAGAAGCTTTGCCACAGTTAGTGATGATCTTCGACACGATTCTGCACATGCCCTTCTGGCGCTAAGAACCATCATTATGATCCTTGAAGAGGAAGAACCCATCTTCAAAACGATAATATATGTGTCGGATGGCGCCGTGATGCACTTCAAAAACAGATTTCAGTTGTATGAAATGGGGAAAAATCCCGTCCTGTGGCGGTGGTTGTTCTCTGCAAGTGGCCACGGAAAGAACGCCTGTGACGGCATTGGTGGCCTTTTAAAGCACCATGCCACATTGCACAACATCAGAGAAACTGCTAATTCTGCAATCCTGACTTCTCGCGACTTTGTGTCTGTCTTAAAAGCGAAGCAAGTCAAAACACGCATTATTGACTTGCCCACCGAAGAACTTACGAAGTTCAGAGAAGAGATGAAGGAAAACTGGAGCGGCATTTGCCAAGCGCCTGGACTGCGTTCGTGTCATGTTTGGTATAAGCAATCACCTGAAGCCTCCATCGGAAACAGGGTGCACGTAGCTAGGACTGCAGAAGAAATTAATTTTTGAACTAGAATCATTACTTCGGTTTTGACGAGTGCCCAATGTATAAGGTTGCATTGTGCTGTGCCTCGAGCATTCAGCTGCCTAGCTTACACTAAGTAAATATATCTTATGTCGCTGAAGCCAATTTAGTTTTCATGTTTCAATGTTTATTAGCTATGCAAGGAACAACGGGTTTAATTACATTATGAAAAATGTGTGACCATAATAAACAGTTCGTATTGTTAAAAGATTCTAATTTAGCTTGACAATAATGTTGTTCTTCAGTAGTATTTCATAACACAGCAAACTTGGTTACAATACCTCTGCTATATTGTAAAAAAAAAAAAACGTGCCAGAATGTCCATCTCCTTCCCCCAAGAAAATACTTTGTGATTACTCTAACAATCCTCCTCACCGTCAACAAATTCATTTGCGCCTATTTCTCTCTATTTGTTTCCCCTTTCTCTCCCTCCCCCAGCCTGCCCGAGTCTTGTGACTGCCAAAGTGAGATAACATTACGCGCGAGCATACCGCTTTCCCGTTTTTCAGATATGCAACAACATCAACAACTCCGTACGGTCCCGAACTTCGTATCCGTATATCACACGTCCATACTGCTCCGCAAAGTATCGCACTCTTCCACACTTGGAATGGACGTTGCTCAGTTCCACTTTTCTTTTGCTTGCTCGTATGCAGGAACGCAGGCACATGTTCAGGCTCTTCGGTAAAAACTCGTAATCTTCCGTGAACATGTTTTCGGAGCTTCGGGTAAGCATAGTTCTTTTTCACAGTTTAATCCGTAATGTCAACAGATACCAAAGTGATTACTTATAAATCAGGTGTGATGTTGTCCTTTACGTGGTGTCAAAACTAATTGATAAGCGTAAAATCACAAATGCAATATTTTTCGGGTGTAGTTACAGTTCACAAAGGCGTACGTGATTTTTTTTTACAAAAGTCGAGTTCCCCAATATTAATTTTGTTTTAAATATTTGTTGGCTATATTTAGATTGCTAGAAAACAATGTACACGTTTTCTTCCCACTACGTTATGCTCGACTGTATCAAACACGGCGCTGATGAAAATTCCCCCCAAAATTCGCCGTTGGCGGCTGCTGTTTCACAGCATATTCAGACGCTCGGCATTGCTAAACTACTGCTTTACACCTATCAAAGTATATGCCTGATAAAAGAAGGAGATCAGGAGAGTAAAATAAGAGAAAATGAAAAATATTAAAAATGGCCTTTTTTTTTTTAATGGCGCGCTGAATTTGACCAAATTTTGAAAACTTCAAAATTTTCAAAATTTATTTCTCGGTATACAAAAATCATAGACAAATGAAACATGCATTTTTGAAAAGGCAATGAAACGCTCTGTCAGAGAAAAAAAAATAAATGTCATACGTTAAAATTTTCACCTAAAAATTAATTCTGAATCTTCGTGCATAATCGTCAGAGGTGGCAAGTTTGGCTATCTTTAAAAAAAATTTCAATT